AAGCATTCTCATCAAACTCCTCCTCAGTAGTTGAAGAACGATCATCATTCAACCAATCACCATGAATGACCTCAAAATTCCTCGCATAACAAGTTAGGTGATCTTGCAAAATATCATTAGAGAGAACATAATGGGAACATCAACCATTCCCGAATTTCCCGCCATATTATCACCTTTAAGAACTGAAGCACTAACACCCTACCAACCACAACATCGACAACCAAAGGGTTTTAATCTCTCCAACATGATGGGCCAAAGGTTCCAAAACCGAACCAATAACAGGGGTGGAGACAACATCAAGATGAAGATGCAACGCACTACACTCAGCTTTCGAATGACCCAAAGCTTTACAATGACCACAATAGAATGGGAAAACTTCCATTTCCACAAATTGGACATAACCCATAGTTGCAGAACCAAGCCAAACCTGATTCGAATACCTCTTTGTAACATCTAGCTCAACGAGGACACAAGCAAAGGAAGGGTCTAGTCCCATTGGCAGTAGCGCTACCAGTTCTTAAGGGCTTGTCAAAAATGGACCCTAACCCTTGAAGAATTTGGGTAGAGAACAGATGATGGTGAAGGTTAGGGAAAGAAATCCAAATCGGAATGAAAGGAGATTCCACATTAATGTCAAAGTGCGGAGACCATTTAAACAACTTCATATAACAATTGTTAAAAAAAAATAGAAATTGTGAGCGAAAACTCGACAGTAATCTAAAACATTCCTAAGCTTGATCAAAAACATTCTTGTTGTTGACAACAGTGACAGAGAACTCACCATTAAGCTTAAGTTGAATAAAAAAATTTTGCGTATAGCTTCAAGAGATGGACAGCAGCCGAGAAGTTTCCCAACTAAAGACACCTCAAAAGGCACAACTAGTGCATTCAATTCTTCATCAGAAATCAACAAAACAGGAAGACTGTGACAAGATTAAACTTTCAAAGCCGGAAAACTCGACGACGAGGAGGTCCCGAACAAAACCTCCTGAAAAGAACGAGATTGCGGAACCCCATCCAAAAAACTAGGGTCAATCAATCAATTACCATCCATAGAAAGGTAGAAGGAGCAAACAAACCGGAAGATTAGGGGTCCTAATCGGTGGAGCGCCGGAGAGGCTGCTAGGAGAAAGCCCTAGCAGAGCGGGCAAAGCATCGGGGAGGGCGAAGCATAAGACATACATTCTATTGGCAAGGTAATTGGCAATTTGAGGTTGCATACAATAGCAATTGAAAACAAAACTCTTTGAAAATTAATGGATATATTACAATATCTTATCCTCTATCGTTAATTAATTACTTAATCTATTATATTAATTATTAACATTCTTAAATTATATCTAAAATAAAATTTATCTAATATGTCCATTAAAATTAGGCTTCGTTTGGGACGACTTTTTTATTGCTTCTTAAAAATACAAAATTAAAAAAAAAAAGATTAGAAAGCTGATTTAAGAAGCAGTAAAAAAATCGTTCCAAATGAAGCCTGAGATGCAACTTAATTATGAATTTAAATCCAGATATAATGATTATTTACTTAATTAAAAAAACTTCTATTAATTTATTATATTATCAAAATAATTATTGGAGATCTGTCAATAACTCATTCTTTTCTTCTTGTCTAATAAATTTATTTCTTATTGTGTAATTAGACATCTAATGTTTAGGATAAATTAAGTTTAGATTTAATTTAATTATTGATGTTTTATGTGTTCAATAATTTGAATCATAGATTTAGATTTCATTTTAATAACTTGGAGTCACGTATTGTTCATCAACAGGTAAGTAATAATTATTTATTATGCAGAATTTCCAGTCTAGCTTTATTAATATTGTTTAGTTACTTATTTAGGTATATGACTTTTTATCTCTTTTATTTATCATTAGGACAGTCAATATTTGACACGACACGAAAATCCGACCCGGAAAATCCGGGTCGGGTTCGGGTTCACAGATTCGACCCGTTTGAAAAAACGGGTTGGGTTCTGGTTGACCCGGCGGGTAGTCGGTCAACTCTAAAACCCATTTAATTTAAAAAATCCTGTGCTACCCCGCTGCCCTGGACTTGCCCGCGAAGTTGCTCCGCTGCCCCGGACTTGCCCGCGAAGTTGCCCCCCCTGCCTGCTCTGCCGCGCCTGCAAACGCCGGCGCCACGTGCGCGCTCGCCCGCTTTTTTTTTTCTGAAGATCCAATGAAAATAAAAATAATAAATTTATTTTATGTTTGAATAATATTCTTTATTTATTTGTTTAGTTAAGTAATTATTTTTTTTATAACAAAAACAAATTTTATTAGAAAAAAGGTGCAATACAGCACACAGCCAAAGCACAAAAACAGGCCAATGAAAATAAAAGTACATACATAGGATTACAATTATCGAAAGGGGCAAAAATCTGATAACATGTAGGTTAGACGGACTCAGACCACCACCTGGTTGTCAGGCATGGGCCATCCAAGGAGGAATGAAAGGAAGCATCCAAAAATCGAGATCCAGCAAAAATGAGATCTCCACCAAGCTAAGGTTGTCCAAGGCGCATGCAAGAAACCTGCTTCATCATTGTCTAAACCCCAAGTCTGTGCGGCACTTAAAGCAAATTCAAAATAAGCAACAAATCCAAAGCCAAGCAAATACCAAAAGGAAAAATCTTTTCTTTTTGGCCTTACGATTTCTAGACTTATCATTCTTTTTAAGAAAGTCACCATTTGCGACTAAAAGAGCACCAATAACTAACTCATTAGTCTCCTCTCCATCGTCTGAATAAAAACCCTCATTAAGATCCAATCAATCATATTGCTCCAAAGCACTACCACATGCAAGATGAGCCAACAAGCCAGTAGAGGAACATCCACCAAATGTCCCCTAACACCATCAGACTCCACCCCAATACACACAGCATCAGAATAATCCAGCCCCTCCGAAGAATGATCACCCTCTAACCCATTACCCACAGGAGAGTCATCTCTAGAATCAATAGACAGATGAATAACACCCTCATTAATGCCTCCAATAGGAACATGAATACCACCAGTACAATATACTCGATTAGTTAAGAAATTGTGAGGTTCATCAACCTCACCAACATTAGGATCATGCGCCACAATATCTTCACCCTTCAAAGGGGAAACCGAAACCAATACAGCATTAGAATCCACCTTCAGCACTAAATCATTGGCCTCAACAGACACAACCATATCCAACTCAACAGCTAATTCATTCACACAAAAGTCCTCACAAACAAGGGCAACAAGGGCCACAACCACAGGATCAGACGAAACCTCCGCAAGGCCAGAAAGCACACGAATGACTTCCCCACCCTCACCCAACACATTATTAACTTTAATAGTAGGTGGAGGCAAACACTACAGGAAAATCACCCATTTCCGGCGGTAGTTAAACCTTTTCCGGCGGTTTTCCGGCGGTTTGTCGGAAAAAAGTCTAAAAGCCGTCAGAAATGTGACCGCCGGAAAACCGTCGGAAAAAAGTCTAAAAGCCGCCGGAAACTTGGCCGCCGGAAATCCGCCGGAAATCAGTGTTTTTCCTGTAGTGATAGAAGATGAAGAGCCAAGGTGAGGATGAAAATCTGAAAATCAACCTTCGAATGACCCAAAGAATAACAATGCGTATAATAAGCAGGGAATCTTCCAAATCATATACTACACGTACCCTAGGTTATCTAGGCCAATTCAAATTTCATCGGGATATTGTTTGGTCACATCCAGTTCAACCAAAATGTGAGCAATGGACGGACACGAACTAGAAGAAGTCGCGTTGTCAATCTTTAAGGGTTTACCAAAAATGGAGCCAAGGCCATGAAGAATACGCTGAGCGAAAAGGTGAGGCCGAAGATTAGAAAAAGAGATCCAAATAGGGATGACAGACCATTCAACCTCAATGTTCAAGGAAGGAGTCCATTTAACCAATTTCATATAGCAATTACTCACAAAATAAGATCGATGAGAAAAAATTTACAGTAATCCATGTCATTAAAGAGTTTAATCAACACTTCCATTGGTTCAACATAGTACGAGAACAATCACCATTAAGTTTAAGGTTGAAGAAGAAATTCCTAGTACTTGGCCTCCGGTCAGGGAATTTACCAACAAGTGCGAATTCAAAAGGAACCACAAGAGAGGATTTCCGCTTCTGAAATCCACAAGGTCGACATACCCCGATGGGAAGAAACTTTAAGGTCAGGAAATGAGACGAAAGAAGGAGATACACCAAATAAAGCATTTTTAAAAGAAAGAGAGGAATATCCATTCAAAAAACTAGGATCTCTAAATCCGGGATGCGCCATAAATCTGAACAGACAACAAACAACACCGAAATCGAACAAGAGAAAAAAGAACTTCCCTGAAGCACGCGAGGTGCACAGCCAGGTGAGAGTGAAGGCGGAGCAAAACGATACATCCAAGTGTGAGATAGAGCCACAAGAAGCAGCTAGGGCGAAGCCCTAGCACACCCCAGAGGGAACGGGAGAGAAACCATCCCCAGCTGGCCGTGGGTTTATATATGAACGAACTAATTTTCAATTTGATAGTTAAGTAATTAATAGAGAGAGAGAGAGTGAATACTTATTTCATCTTAAGTTTACATTATTTTGTCAAATCTCTTACAACAACTAGGGGTATCAATATTTGACACGACCCGAAAATCTGACCCAAATTCGATCCAAAAATTTCAGGTTTGGGTTGACCCGAACTTGAACCAGGTCGGCAGATTCAGGTTTGAAAAATCGACCCGTTTGTAAAAACAAGTCGGATTTGGATTGACTCAAATAGTATCGTATCAATTCAGGATTTAACTTGAACCTGACCTATTAACCCAAAATTGACACCTCTAACAACAACCATAATTTTTTACATTTTTATCTTACAGCAAGCAAGACAATAAACTCAGGCCAGCCAATGTCATTGATGCGTCTCACAGCCCGTCGTCATCGATCTGTTTCCTTCCTCCAATCGCCACTCTTTTAATAATTTTTTTTATTTGCCTTTAGATCGATCAATCCTCCTCCTCCTCTCTCTCTCTCTCTCTCTCTCTCTCTCTATTCTGGTTTTGCTTTCTCTCTCCGCAATTTTCTACAACTGCCAGCCATCTCTGACCCCATATGCACATCCCCCATCATATCCTGGCATCCTTTTTTCTTCTCTCCCCTTCATTCCTCTGCTCCCGTCGGCTGTCTCTCTCTCCTCTTTCTAGCTGTTCCCTGGCCTGTTGCTTCCTGTGTTGATTGAAGGAAATCAGCAGGAAGCACAGAGAGAGAGAAAGAGGAAGGGGGAAACGCAAACAAAGAGGTGAGAGATCAGAGGAAGAATGGCGTTTGCAGGGACAACACAGAAATGCATGGCCTGCGATAAAACGGTGTACTTGGTGGACAAGCTCACCGCCGACAACCGAATCTATCACAAGGCTTGCTTTCGATGCCACCATTGCAAAGGAACTTTAAAGGTTTCTTCTTTTTCTCCCCTTTTTTTCATTCTCCTATCTTTTATTGTTTATGAGGAAATCCAACGGTTTTATATTTTTGAGATTGTGTTCCTCTTTGTGATCATTTTTAATTTCTTTCAAATTGGTGATATGAACCTTTTTTATGTATATGCATATCAGCATATGGATCTGCAAAACCTCTTACAGAACACATAGATTTCCTACATAAGTCATAATATATTTACTTTCTTACCTATAAATTTATTTACTAATGCAATGGTCTAATTTTTTATTACTCTAACTTTTGAACTTTAACTTTGAATCTGTTATTATGCAAACATTATCTTCTTTATTTTCGCTTGAGCTTCCAACAGATTTCCTTAAAGCTTTTTCTTCTCTGCAGTTGGGAAATTACAATTCATTTGATGGAGTTCTATACTGTAGGCCTCACTTCGATCAGATCTTTAAGAGAACTGGCAGCCTTGAAAAAAGCTTTGAAGGTACTCAAACTTTCAGAATTCTTTTATTATATAACTTCCAAGGCTTTAGTTATTCAAAATTTTGTAAATATTATTGGGTTTCCCTTTAGGTACCCCAAAGATTGTCAAACCAGAGAAACATGTTGATAGCGAGGTACTAAAATTTTAGCATTTCTCTGTTACAATCTCTTTATTTTGCAAGCATTTTTTCCCCAAGTTAAGCAAGTAGAAGCTGCTAATTTTTGGAAATACCAAAGAGCTCAGTAGATCTATTTGTCTATTACTGGCCCTATGTCCTATTTTGAATTACTGAAATGTTCTGGATATGATTCCATCCTTAAAAAAAGCTTCTAATTGTAGAATTCGATATTCATGACACAGAAACCTATGAGTAGTAAGGCATCAATTGCTTTTGCTGGGACCAGAGAGAAATGTGTTGGGTGCAACAAGACTGTCTATCCAATTGAAAGAGTAATTTTGTTCTTCATTCTCATCACTATTTCATCTACATTGTGTCGATTCTGATATGTTATTGTTGATAAGAAGATGTTCTATAACGATGCTTCTTCATGTCCATCATGTCAATTGAACTCTTGCAGGTGACCGTTAATGGAACTCCTTATCACAAGAGCTGCTTCAAGTGCACTTATGGCGGTTGTGTTATCAGCCCTTCTAACTACATAGCACATGAAGGGAAGCTCTACTGTAAGCACCACCACAATCAACTCATCAAGGAGAAAGGCAACTTGAGTCAGCTGGAGAATGATCATGGTAAGATGGTTGTGGAAACCTCGGTCGGTGCAACAGCTACTGAAGCATAAATATATTTTATAGATGCTTTAAGTCAACTTCATCTTGTATTTCTTTTAGTATGATGTGCTTTAATTTCTTCTTTGATCTTCTCCCTTGAAGATTGTGAGTTGTATAACTACAGTTTTAATTTGCATGATTTTATTAAATGAAATCTGTGTGCTTGTGGCCAAGGGATCCAGAGTTGGGTTCCTTAACCTACTATGTTTCCTCTGAAAAGAAGAATGTATTCGGATTTATTATGAGTTTGAATTTACCAATAAAGTGTTCTCAGAATCTGTGCTCCTAACAAATCTTCTACTGAAATGAGCCATATATTTGGGATATCAAGAATGACAAAGATATTCCAAATATCTTTGTCTAAGAAACCTGTATGATTCCGAAGTCTCAAATACCTGTTATGCTTACAGGAATTAAATCATCTTTGAGGAAATGTTGATCTATTATTATAAGTGCTAATTATAAGAATTTATTATCATTAAAACCTTGTTTGGATGGTTTTTTTAATGTTTCTTAAAACAGCTTTTTAGTTGTATTAAAAAGTTGTTTTAAGAAGTAATAAAAAGTCATTCTTTATCTTTGTTTGGGATAGCTTTTTTATTGCTTCTTAAATTAGATTTTTAGTATAAGAATTTTAATTTGTGTACTTGAAAGTTACTTTAAAAAGCATTAATAAAGCCGTCTCAAAGGAAGCCTAAATCTGATATCTTCAATCATTATGAGTTGCACATCCACAAAAGAATGCTTAGAATAAAGTATATGGCATGAAATTATTCTCTCCTATGGAACTAGATGAGGAATGGAACTAGGTGAGGAGACAGTGAAGTAATTATTGAAATATATTAACAGGTAGGAATTTAGTAAGCATAGATATACCTTATTAAGTTAGCTGTCTTCACAGGCAAATTTCATTGCTGACTGCCCTATTAGTAAGCTTTAGAATCTATCTAAGAAAATTACGAGGAACCAAACAAGGAGATTTGTTTTTTAATGAAATTCGCTGGTGTTTTGTCCATTTCACTACAGATCGAGAATTTGTTTTGTTGATTAACAGTGAATTGATCATGATGGAAAATAACAAGCCAAATGAGGTAATTAGCGCATCATTTAATGCAACCAAATAATAAGTAAATCAGTGATGCAGATGGTGCTTTCTCGTGCCATATCACAGTCAAGGATTTGGTGTGTACCTAGCTGCACTAATTAAATTCAAAAGGACCAAGCTTTTGTTAAACGTAAAGTGAAAGAATCTTTCTATAATATATTGGAAGAAGGCGAAAGTAAAAATTTTCCTGTATTTAATCCTTTGATAGGCTAAATAACCAGTTGTTTAGAAACATGACAGCCTGAAGGAATAAACCGAGTGCTATCACATCATATAACATTTGAAGATAATGCTTTAGTTGGTTTTATCTCTTACTTAATTTTTAGAATTATATAAAAATATACTTCTTTCTGATTTCATAAACATTCAAAAGGACATATAGAAATTTCATGTTTAATTTGAAAGGTTGCGTCTTTTTTGGTGATTAATATATCTCTTTATCAGTTCTGTATGAGAACGGTGTAAGGAGAAAAGCAGCAAGGAGCTGAGAGTGAGAGAGAGAGTTTGTACAATTTCTCTCAATTTTTATAGTGAATTTCTTAGTGTGATTTGACTCCGTAGTTTTTTTCCCAATTTCGAATTTTTCCACGTTAAGCCCTAGTATATCTTTTCTTCTGCTTTATTTTTCCTCATTTGTGTTGATTGCGTGATTTTATTCCCAACAAGAACTGCTCGTATTTTTATATGAAATTATCATGTGCATCAATTAAACAATGGCAAGGAATGCAGCCTCAAAAACATAAAATTCAATTACCTGACAAAGCTCATTGATAGTACAGGCAATCTACAAAAGGAGGATGCAAATTATATGTGGTTCACAAGTTAACATCAAAATTAGGCCAGCCTTCAGAAAACACCATATGTTTGATAGCAGAATTAAATATAAATTATGTGTTAAGAACTTTTTCGAGTTTAGTTTATTCGTAGTGTGGTATGTACTGTAGAGCTCATGGTTCTAATCATGAAAATGAACTCAACATCTCACAAAATCCTATTAAGTCCCTTTGGCTCTGCAAGCTGCGCAAGCAATTGAGAGGCTTGAGGCAATAATAGAAATTATATGTAGAGGAAAGAAGAAAGAGCGACACAAATTTTTTGTGTAGGATGGAGGAAGAAAGAACTCATGTCAGTCTTGAACTATTCACCCCATCTGGCTTAGTTAGGTTGGTGGGCGAGCGTAGTTGGAAACCCCCCCACCCATGTTCTATTTCTCTCTCATGCGACGCGACTTTTTTGGGGGAGAAAATTGTGTAGCCCTGCACCTGTGGGGTTGGTTGCTGGTATGCCAACCGAGGGATTAGTTACGCTGCCAAGCACCTCTTTTGAGGGTGACAGTGGGTAGATACCCCTGGTCCCAAAAACAAAAAGTATTGAACTATTCGCTCGAATTTGGCTTATTCCCAATAACTGTCTTCGATTTTACAATTTGCTTAGTAAAACTATTTGCAACTTTGATCTCCAGCTTTTACATACTATATTCCAATTTCTGTTTGCTTGATTTGGTCTCATATGTACCGCAAACAACCATAGATATGTTTGTTTCTGTCATGATGTAGATGATTTTGCCAACTCAATTATTGAGTTATTGTCTACATAAACTTTTGTAGATCCACTTTGAGAACATCCAATCTCCTTTAGTATCTTCCTTAGCCTCATTCCATGGCACACAAATGAAGGTGATGCAATATATTCGGTTTCATAAGTTGCTTCCTTGAACACTAAGTGACTCGCCAATATAAAATACAAAACCTGTAATATTTTTCTATGATCTTGATATCCAACCCAATCATTTTATGAGTAGAAATTAAGAGAAAATTCATTAGGAGAGGAGTTGATATGTCATTAAAAAATTCATCATAAATAGGCACGAATCGAGATTCATCAATTAGAGCCAAAAGCTTCAAAAATCAAATTCAGGATCCCTCGAACTCCGATTTCAGCAAACTTATAGTCAAATAGATCATCTTAAGGAGACGAACTCAACAACATGAAATTCAGTCTAATCCAAGTCCAAAAAAGGTAAAATCAAAGGACCAAAGTCTAGTTAAAGGCTTTAGGCCCTCATTCTTCACATAGGAGAGAAGGAAGAAAGGGAAAACCTTGGGAGCTCTCTTGCAATCGACCATTGACCTTTGCCGGATCTCTGCTCGTTCGTTGCCCACCGCTGGATCTCTTCCCGATTCCTGATCATCGCCATACTTCTAATTGTTCGTTAGCAGCCACCAAATCTCTTCCCGATTTCCGATCGTAGCCAGATTTTTGCTTGTTCGTTGGCCACAGCCAATTTTTTTCCTAACTTTGATCGCCGATGGACTTTTGCTTGTTCGTTGGAAGCAGTCGGATTTCCTCTCAACTTCCGATCATCACTGAACTTCTGATTGTTTGTTGGCCATCGCCATATCTCCTCTCGACTTCAGAATATCGTCGGACTTCTGCATGTTTACCAACTACAACAGGATCTCTTCTCGGCCACCAACTCTCTCCAAATTTCACTCCATCTGTTGGTTATCACCAGTGTTAGCATATGAATACATTTCACAGACCGTGTGTAGCAAATTACCGTTACCTGTACTTTCTTGTAGTTTGTTATACTTCTTGTTTCTATTACTTTATATACCCCACTGTATACAGAATACAATATAGAAAAATCATTTCTCTTCTTCCCTGTTCGGCTCTCTGCTATTACCTTACATGGTATCAGAGCCTTGAATTCTTTCCTCCTCTGTTCTTGTTCTTCTTCACCACTCATGGCCAATACACCCAACGTCTCCTCCACCAGCCTCTCTTCCACGGACGAAATTCCGACGCCCAGCTCACCATCCATCCCGGCTTCATTAAAATTTTTAATGAGCCATCTCAAAAGTGTAGTCGCCCAACCCCTCAACGCCGACAACCATCCTCTATGGCGATCTCAAGTGCTTAAACTGTTCAAAGCCAACGGCTATCAAGGCTTCTTAGACGGCACTTCTCCTCCGCCCCCACCAACGACGTCCGTCGATGGCTCCGTCATTCCCAACCCTCAATACGAAACATGGCTCTTACAAGACCAAAATCTTGCAGCCGCCATGTATTCCATCATCTCGCCCACAGTCCTACCTTACGTTCTCTCCGCGGATCACTGCTCCGAAATCTGGACCATTCTTGATCGTCGCCTCCAATCCAGCACAAGATCAAGAATCATTCAACTTAGGCATGAACTTCACTATCTTAACATGAAGGATAAAACGATGTCACAATACCTGCTCGACATCAAAGCCAAGGTTGATGCGCTTGCTGCAGCCGGAGCTACCTTACCCATTGAAGAAGTCATACACTACACCTTGGACGGTCTTCCTTCGACTTATCAAGCTTTCAAAACGGCGATACGCACCAATCGTCAACCACTCGATCTTGACGAACTGTACACCCTTCTCTGCAGCGAAGAGCTCAATATCGCCCATGAAGCTACCCGTGAGCTTCTGTCTCTCCAACTCGCAGGGAATACCACGGCACTGGCCGCTACACGCGGTCGAGGTCGCGGCCGATCCTCTTCCCGCGGACGCAACTCCTACAACACCGGCTCCAATACCAACAACAATCGCGGCCCAAGAACTGCAAGATCCTCGATCACTTGCCAAATCTGCGGCAAGCTTGGTCACTCCGCTGTTAAATGTTGGCACCGTCACAATGATGACTACAATTCCGAACCACCAGCAGCCGCCCTCTTTACCTCTCCGGCGACCAACGTCTCCACCGAATGGTTTCTCGACAGCGGAGCGTCTTCGCATCTCACCTCCAATCCCAACAACCTTCACACCTCTCAACCGTACACCGGCAATACTCATGTGACTCTTGGTAACGGTCACCAAATTCCCATTCAAAACACTGGTAAAGGCCTCCTTCCCACTCCTCAAGGTAGTCTTCGCCTAACTCATTTGAATCTTGTTCCAAACCTATCATTTAATCTACTATCTGTCCACAAACTTACTCATGACAATGACTGTCTCATTACATTTTCTTCTCATGGCTACGAACTCAAGGATCGGAAGACCCGCCGAACTCTTCTCAAGGGTCCATCTATTAACGGTCTGTATCCAATTCAAGCCATGCCTCACATCAACCATGACACCTCGCAACTGGCTCTCGTCTCCGTTCAATCCATTCCCGATCTTTGGCATCGTCGACTCGGGCA